CTTTGTTAATAGTTAAAACATGTATGTAGGATACTTTCTTTTAACCCAAGTTCTGGGAATAAGGATTTATAGTTTATTTTTAGAAGTAGTAAGAGCTTCTTTTACTCCTCACAAAACTCAGCTATAAATGAAATGGGTTTTCTTAACTGTCCAATTCACACATTATTAATATGAATAAACAGGGCCTTATATGGAAACTTGTTGCTGTTGATACTTATGTTACTTGTCAATACCAGCAAGCCTACTTGAAATCAAGCGAATTTTTAAGGCAGATGGTGCGTTTTTTGTTTTTTTCAGAGGAGTCATCTATGGCTAAGAATACGACTTCAGCCACACACATGTCACAACCCGTTTTTACAGGGAAGACTCAATCTTACTCCATCCATTCATCCACGGATCGTAATTTTGGCTTGAACCAGAGAACGATCAATCACCATTTCAGTATTGATTTGTTATAGTCACCATTTAAGATTCTTCGGTTGGCGGGTTTCGAACTCATTTTCACACGAACACGAGCCCAACGTCCTACCAATCATGATATCCCGGCCATTAAACGCTTTTAAAATATATTTTCCAAATATTTATCTAAAATGAAGTTAAAAATGTATTTACATTAAGGGCTCGGAAATCATTATTGAAGCAGGGGGAAGACTCAAAAACACTATCGATATCTGTAAAACCACGGTTGATGAAGTGGCTGTTATGAAATCCAAAACCAGATTGATTGTGGGAGAAGACACTGAAGAGCTGAAACATTATCATTAGAAACACCAAGTTTCAACGGCAAGCATACAAATTTTGATTTTTATACACACGATTTCTTTAATTGTGATTCATCAGTTTTCTATTAGGTATAAGGTTTTCCTTGCTTAAATATTATTTTGAGGACCTTAAATTGGGTATACTTAATTTTAATAAAGGTTACTTTATTTTTTAAATGTGTTACTTTATTTTTAACAATGCTTCTACAAATATATATGTTAAAGGTGGTTTTTGCAGAACACCATGTACATTGCATGTTGTGTTATAATTAGAAGTGTAAACTTAAAACATGATATAACTGACTCAGACACTTTTTGAAGTAAAACATATTGTCTGGATCTTTGCCTCGAAAAAAAATATGGAAATGGCTGTGCTAAATAATTAAATCTGTTCTAAGATGTTATTTCAGTGGAAAAGCATCACTTTGACATCAGTCCATTCAGATTCGGTAAATAAAAAAGGGATTTATATTTCAAGGAAGCAGGAGATAATAAACAAACTGGAATAGATGAACCACAAAAAAGAGGGAGACGGCAGTGTTGGCTCGCAGAGAGTCCGTGCAAGTTGTGGCGTTTCAATTTAGTTTGCCAACTTCACTAAGTCTGGGAAATCTGGTCACATAAGAAGCCTCTCAGCATTCGTGACGCCTAATTAACAAATCTGCAATCTATTCAATGCGAGAGAAAATTGTTCTGGACAACTATTTTCAAATGGTTTCTTAAACAGTTGAAAAAAATCATTAATCTGGAGATTGTCACAATTTCTTTGCGATGTTTTTGTAAAAACATTTTTAATTGTTTTGTGTGATCCTGAATTTACCTTCTGTGTTTACCAGTGGGTCAGATTAAAATGCATCCATAATTTTCCTTAAAATATATCTTTTAAGTGATTCCTGATGAGCTTAGTTTGTTTGTTTCGTTGTTCAAGATCGTTTTCCACTTGCGTAGGGATCCTATGTAATCTGTCGGTATATATATATATATACACCCAAGAGCCATTACATTATGACCAACCTGCTAATAACAAGTAGGACCACCTTTAGCTCTCAAAACTGCTAGCACCCGCCGTGGCATTGATTCCACAAGGTGCTGATAGGTAGTCGGAGGTATCTGGTACCAAGCGCTCACCAATTGGTCCTGCAATTCCCTCACATTACGAGGGGGTAGCGTGGCAGCACGAATTTGGTTTTCCAAGGACCACAAATGCTCTATTGGATTAAGGTCAGGTGAATTTGGGGGCCAAAACATGACTTGAAAGTCACTGGAATGTTCCTCGACGATT